ACCACAACGTTTCGGAGACTGGATCTGTCTCCGTCTTCAGGTGTATAAGGAAGGTTTAACCTACTCAGTTGGGCCCCTTAGAAAGAGCTAGTCTCAATCACTGGACAAACCTTGATCTGTAGAAACAACCTATGAACAACCGACAACCCGGACCGTCAGTGGGAGGAAAGAATAAAATCGCAGTAAAAACATGATAGAAAATTTGTGCCAAACATGCACTTGTCAACAATGTAAAGAAACAGAAGTATGGGTTATATTCCATGAATTCAGTTAAAAACGAAAGTCAAAACTGGATAAAGCATGCCTGATCTGCATGGATAAAGAGCCACCATGGCGACTTCCGGGAATCAGACTAATCCCCGGAAGAAAACTTGCAGTAGTAGTGGAACCACTAATATTCATGAAATTACATTTTTGGTTTGTTAACCTCTTCTCATTGATGAGGTGGATCAATATAGGAGAAATATCCAAACTGGGTTGGCTGATCGGATTGGATGAACATGCCATATGAGCTGATTCTTTGTATTTCCTGTATCTGCTGTTGCTTTCAATCTCCAAGATCCTAGCTTCATCCCAGCTTACCCTGTGACCTTCTTCATATGCATGCTGAGCCAACCTGGATTTCTCTAGAAGACCCTGCTTAAGATTGTGCTTGTGTTCACGGATTCGAGCTGAGCTTCGTTAAATGTCACCTGAACCGATCTTGTATGCCTCCGTGAGCACTGATCTTTTTTTAATTATTTTATCGACCGATTACATAGGTTCCCTTCTTGACTACTGTACAGCTTCCCAGGAGCAGTGACAGCAATCAGCATGACATATCTTCTTTCTATTTCCACATCTGTCCAAAGACCAAGACCGACTGACCTCCAATTCCTTGTGTCCTTAACTTATCTGCACATACGCTGTTTGCACGGCGTTACTCAGATAAACAGACGGAGAAGTGAGCTTATAGGATTACCTTGCCACGATCGCATGCATTTAACGACGGGCAGAAAAGCAACGGAGTCCTTGGCTACGTGTTGCTAACAAATGAATTACATAATTACCGCAGTACTTCCGCGCTGAAACTAAAGAAGGAGGGGGGGAGCAAATAATGTCAGAACAAAGTTTCAAGGGCGGTGAATTCCAATGCGTCTATTTTCGTTCATTGTTTCTACAGCCTTGTCGGAGCAGAACCCTCGATTAGAGCCGGAAAGGATGTGACTCTGTATGGGTGTGTGCATATGCGTCATTTTCACAAACAAAATACAGCAACTTCATACAATTATTATATTATTACTACTATTATGTACTTGGCCTATTTAAGGTTTATCTGACAACGCCGTTAGCAGCTCAGACTATATAGCGACAAATTTTGGGGCGGTTCATGAATCTATCTATGGCTCTACAGCCCTTGTGGACCTTGGCCGTTTTTCTTTTTCAGTTTCTTAATCTATACACAGTCTGTAGGATTCCTTGGACGGGGGATCAGTCCGTCGCAAAACCGCTACCTACACACAGAAAAATATAAACACTGAATAAACGCACACAAACATCCATGCCTTGTGTGGGATTCGAACCCACGATCCTAGCGTTCAAGTGATCAAAAACAGTTCATGCCTTAGACCGCGCGGCCACTGTGACTGGCAGAGTTCATGAATAATGAAGTGGAAATGATGTGGAGAAAGGTCATGGCTGAGTTTCTAGTGCACCTACTATGCTGTGATCTGATGGTCGAATGGAGGTAATCCAAGGACATCCTGCAGGGTAGCTGGTCTTCGCGAGACACCTGGATGTGGCACCCCCAAGTGTTGCGCACTCGATCGTGACGGTCGTTCATACTACTACTACTACTACTACTGCTACTGCTACTGCTACTGCTACTGCTGCTGCTGCTGCTATTCTCTGTGGGCGCCGACGTCCATGAAGGGCATTGGTCTGTTTTCATTTTCTTAATCACACACAGTCGGTAGGATTCCTTGGGTGGGGGATCAATCCGCCTCAAGGCCGCTACGTACATACAGAAAAAACACAACCATCCGTGCCTTGACCGGCAATACTACTAGTAGTACTACTACTGCTACACAAACCAATCAAACCAGGACGCCGTGTCGGATGCGTGGAGATAACATTCCAAGCATACTAGATTTCCGGGCTAAAAGAAGATGACATTCAAGGTTCATGCACGGTACCCTCCAAAACACTTTGAGTTCAGTTTCCGTCGTACAATCGGGAGACGACGCTGAAGCGAATGTTTACGCAAAATTATGAGACACACGCATTTCAAACAACAAGTACATATGTAGTAAAACAGAAAACAGACTCTGCTTTTGGGCTAATTTCTAAAGGTATAGAGGTCGCTACTGAGAGATAACTATCCATGCTGCGTACATGCGTTTCTCCGTTTCAGCTTTCGAACCAACTTACATATTTTCATGAAATTTGCGCACTGAATATTCCTTCACAACGGAATAATCTACCTTTATTTATATGGAGCTTAAAACTGACTTCATCTTCTTCCTTTGGCGAATTAGACTATTTCAGAATTAATCTGAAAACTATGAATCTTACAGGCAGTTGGTAGTATCAATCCGTTTCAAGACCGCTACATACACAGAACAAGATAAACACAAAAACACACACAAATCCTCGGATGCAATTCGAGCACACGATTAGTGTTCGTGTGAGCGACGTCATTCGTGCGGTGATCGGCTCACGAGCTTAATCAGTCTCCTAGAAATAATGCTCGTACAAAAATCTGAATATACAATGTAAAATTACGTCACCGTGTAAGATTTCAGGTTTTCACGATGGTGACTGTGAAAGCAGTCTTCTGGAATGTGACGCCGTTCCTCGCTCGCGGATTTTCTATTTTCTTCTACTCTGAAGATGGAGGAGATACGTTCCTCCGAAAATGTCGGTTAATACAATATATACACGGAGCCACATCCCAGAAGACGACTTGATTCATAACGTCACCAATCTTAAACTTGCATTTCAAATGTAATTCCATAAGATGAACAGTTGTTAAATAAAAGGGCTATGCAATGTGATACCTGTAAGCATCTTCATGCACGTGAAGGAAAGTTTCCAAGATAATAGTACGAGGAGTGTACATACCTAACTGGTTGTGGTGGTGCATCGTATAACTGCAGCTACCATAATCCTGAAGTGCCATAGATGTATCAGTAACACAATATTGTCCTACTGCACCTCATACAGTCAGTGACTTTTAACACACACACAAACACACGAGTCCAAATACGTGTTAAAGCAAAATTCTTATTCAGTTTGATGCACAGTACTTCCCTCTGAACACTGCACTCATTCACCTGCACTTCACAACAAAGTACCTGGAGCAATCACTTCTTTGTGCCTACAGAAATAAACATAGCATTCATCATGCAACCGAGAAATCCAATTCTCTCAAGCCTTCTTGAACTTAGCCTACCGACACATGAATCACTGCACCGAGGCTTATAAAATTTGATACAATCACGAAACAAAATCACAGGCCCCAAAACAGTGCATTTATTATATATTTTTGGGTGTTTTCAAACGTATATGACGACAAACAGAAACGCAGAGGCTATGTTTTCACACGTTTCATGAAGTAGGTACATCTGGTAAAGTAAGCGTTCATATCTGGATAATTTTCAATTTATTATATATGTCAAGTTCTGCGGAGTATTGATAATTACGCATCGAGTCTGCTAGCCTCTAGAGAGTTGTTTCACACATATGTGACGCCTGGAAATTACGGCTAACCTGAATGAAAATTAGCTTCTCCGATTGATTCTGTTCCAATGTATTTAGTTGATTAGGTACTTTTTTTGGCACTACAGCCCCAGTGGGCACAGGCCTACCTCCATGAACTTCTCCTTCACTTCGGTTTTTTTTTATCTTACACATTCGGTAGACTCCTTGGGGGGGTGATCAGCTCGTCGCAAGGCCTCTACCTGTACACAAACTAAACATCCATGCCCTGAGTGGGATTCGAACCCACGATCCCGGTTTCCAAGCGAGCGAAGACAGTACATGCCTTAGACCGCTCGGCTACCGTGACCGGCGATTAGGTACTTTGCCTCTGTATATACGAGCAGGCCTAAGAACATTTCAATGGAAGCAAACGTCAGAGAACCTTCCTTGAACTTCTTGTTAACGGAAAATACAGCTGAGCTGAGCCACCTGTAAGGTAAATACGACTATCGTGACTTCTTTACTTTCGTGTTACGATACTTTAAAATCACCACGAAATTAAGTATGTGTCCCTCATTTAATTTTAGTATTTCTTCACAGAGTTCTGCTACAGGCCCATCCATCGAAAACTGTTACAAATAACCAGTGAGTACGTGCCCAATTCTGTGGGGAGGTGAGTGTGTTGCGCCAGGAAACTGAGTAAGTTTATCCTACACTCAGGCCTTACTGTCCACCGTTTTAACGAACTGTGGCATTTTCTGTTCTCTATTCGAAGCAGCATTACCTTACTGTAGCGGATAAACTTGCGTGACCTGATACCAGATCTTAACGTTGTCGTGATTTCTAATGTTGGGCAAATTACAAAGCCCTTGAAGAATTATCGACATTTCAAACATAAAACATTCGGGATTTATTCATATCACTAACGCGTAACATACCGACTGCCCAGAAAATCTACCATTCTAATGCAACATGAAGAAAAAACACAATAAAAAAAAAAGATCATATATGCCCTGTTACTGAACATACACAGAACTGGCCCTCTAACAACAGGAATACTGACAAACGTCGGAATCATGCCAACCTTAGGAGAACGAATCGAAATAGTAAGCAGAGTATCAACAAATATCATTATATTCTAAGACATTTTAAAAGGCGGTAATGGGTACCAATACTAGAAATCAGAATCACAGACAACTATTGTTTCTTGAACCGCATTAGCATAATCTGCAGAATGGTAGTGCAATCGGAGAGCTGGCGGATCGACCAGTGGTTTCGTGCATCCATCTAAGCAAATGGCAGGAACGCGCAAGGACGGCCATAATCGTCACTACCCGAACACTGCCAGATCTCTTTACGATCCCCTTATGGAGGCTTAAATGTGGGCTCACCGACACTGTTCGTAGGCTTATCCGTACACGTGCATATATCAACCACGATGCACCAACACCTTTTCCCCCTCTCTCTGGAACATAGGGCTGATTTCTAAGTTTCATAATCATTTTACAGACGGTAGGACTCCTTGGACGGGTTATCAGCTTGTCACAAGGCCTCTATCTAAACACAGAATAAACACATACCACACCAAGCATCCATGCCTTCTGTGGGATTCGAACCCACGATCCCGGCTTCCGAGCGAGCGAAGACAGTACATGCCTTAGACCGCTAGGCTACCGTGACCGGTACCAACACTTTGATAGGCAGAATTCTGTGATGGGCCTACCACCTATTCCGCTGACCATTTCATAGGATGAACATTTCCGAATACTCCATTATAACGTATACTAACTGTAGATGATAATGGACATCAGGATCACCATGGTGAAATCACTATGAAGCGCTGTAACGCCGCGTAGCATGGTAGAGGTCCACCATCTACCGAACTACACGCTGTAACAACGCAGAGGATCGTACTCTTCAGGCTCAGCAGATTCTGACTGATCGCTGACGGGCTTTCGTGAACCGTATAATGAACGTCTGGGTTCAGAAAACGTCTGTTGTTGTCATCATCGTCTTTCTGAAACATCTCTGCAGGTGGAGCCACCATTAAACAGTGAGACAGTGGCACTGTCATCTCATCATCAGTTCCTAGATTTTATAATTAAAATATTAACTGGAACTAAATCCCCAGGGCGGAGACTTCGTTGAACACACAGGGTGCCAATTCACGGTACGATGCATCCCCAGGCGTCTTTTGGACGGAACGCATTGTTGCTGTTCAGCTGGAAGGTGGGTAGTCACTTCTGCAGCTGCGTAGCTCAAGATAGAATGCAGGACGTGTACACAAGCAGTCGTGTCCTATATTAAGGCACTATTCCAGAGGGCAGCAAATCTGGGAACGGATGTCTCTTAGTCGCCGTGCCCCGAATCACGCCCCCTTTAACTCAATAATATGACACCCCTAAAACGCACATGTGGATATCCCCGTGGGTTAAAGGTAGGGCATCAGCCCTTAATCATGTTGCTATTAATGCACACTTTGCAAAGGAATGTGTACCCCACACGTTAAAAATTAGTCTACTGCCCTGATAAAGGTCATGCGCCATTAAATTACATACAAGAGACTGGAACGTTTATGCCAATTTTATGACTGTTTATTTAACACCCCTTCTCCTCTTTTCTTGCATATTACGTCTTAATGCCATTTGTACTAAGACATGACAAGACACAGAGCAACATTACACGGACCACCATATTTAGGTAACAGTGTCGTTCAGCTGATGAAGAAATTCTATATTGAAATCCTAAGATCCACAGACGAGTTAAAAATATTCAGTAGTGATTATACTGACCCAAAATGATGCTGGTCTACATCTCCAAATAGTCATTATTTTGTAAGTTGCACTACCAAAATTGCTTACGCGTTCTTATTTCTACCGTGTCTGCACCGTGTTGCGAGAACCATTCTCTTAATCCTCTCCACCCTCCGGTCACATGTTTCAGGAACAACAAGTGAGTATCTCTGCCGATAAATAAAGGATATACTTCGGTCAGGACCAATGGTGCCAAACATGTTTACAGTTATGTGCTTATCTCTACGTTCTTCTTCAAACAAGCAATTGGTGAAGCAGGCAGCTCGGCATGAACACTACCCAGGACATAACAAATTGTGTACCAAAAAGTAGGTCCTTTCAGAGCTTGACCCGAAGCACGTCTGTGGCCGTGTATGGGCATGAAAATCATGCTCATTTACTTATCTTCACTGCTAACAGTCCACACCCCAGGAATGGGACCTTCCTCAGGAATTTCATCATTACACATCGAACCCGTCACTGTACCGTACCCCAAACCAGAGAAATCTAGTTCACATTCTCACACCATTCTCATTCTCTAACATATTGGCTCAACCAACATTTCGTCTTTACTCAAACTGTACAGTAGGCTTTCTTAATGACCCAGTACTCAATCTGTGTATACGCTCGTATACTTCCTTTGTGCTTTCGCGCCTCTGACCTCTGCGAATCTGCTAATTTAATGGAGAAAATAAAGATTCACTTCCTGCAGTGTAATGTGTAATATGCATGATATTCCAATGTCATAGTCTATATTACTCTGCTGTAATACGGCAGGGAGTAAGCTGAAGAGTCTAACTACTGATGGCAGCACCACGGTCAACGGCTCAGTGTGTACCTGGCACTGAGGAAGTTTCCCAAGAGGCAGGCCTAAATTCTGCTGCTATCTCAATCTACTGTCCACGTTACACATACGTGGAATTTTACACCCCATTAGGTCTACACTATTAATCCTAGCAAAAGTCTCTGTTGACGCCAGAAGTATCACATTACATTTGGAACAGAAGATAAAATTTCATTTGGTACGAGTGATGACACAACGGCAGGGAGCAAAGTCTTTCTTTAAAGCCAGTTCTACAAGTCCCTGTTGACGCCAGCAATACATCACACTATATTTGGAACATGTGATAAGATTTCATTATATACGAGTGATAATAGCAGTATCATTGTTGAAAGCAAATTCTTGCCACCAGGAAAATTTGCATTTGGTAACTGTGATGGCACAGCGGAAGGAAGTAAAATTCTGCTTGAAAGTCGATATTTGCTACCTAGCCAAGAAATTCTCCCCCTAATATGTCTCGCGCCCGCCAGTGAACTATCCTAAGCTAGGAGAATCCAGTTCAAACCCTCACAACCTATTTCAAACAAGATTCGGCCTCTATTTTTAACTACGCCAAAACAGTCAACTGTGCAGTACTTCCAGTGTGGACAACGGTTACAACCTCTCCCTCGGGCCAAAACACTGGTCGTCAGTTTTCGCGGTGGCCCCTCAAGGGGGATTACTAAGAAGGATATCGGATTTCGCGTATTTTTATTCACAGTATGGTTTCTCAAACTCCACAAGCTTAGTTGCATCCACACACAGCCTTGTAGAAGTCAGTAAGATTTAATATAGGCGTTTTGGGAAAATGTAGCTGCAGTCGGAAAATCATTTCGAGATTTTTTCTCCTGTCTGTACAACAAAATTTTATAGCTTACTGAACGTGTAGGCTCGTGCTCTCACCGTACAGCCTGGTAGAGACCTGTATCAAAAAAAAAAACTCCTTGGTTTTAGTCCGCAAGCGAATTATACCGACCGAGCGATCGCCGCTTGTCGGCGAAGTTAGTGCCAACTTTAGCGGATAGAGGGTGTCGCGTGGTCAGCGCAACGAAGCTGGATTAATGT